GCTTCCACAGGGCACAGGTGGTGTACCAAAAACAACTAAGTTAAATTTAAATAGATACAAAATATCTTTATAAATGTCAAATGCTGAATGAAAATGGTATAAAAAATAATAAACATATATAAATACCCTTCTTCCACCAATAAAAAAGACAATGTTGTCATTGGGAAGATGTCCCTTCACTTCCTGTTACATAGCAAAAAGAGGAAGGAGAGGAAATCCCTACAAATTAAGGGAATCCGTTGGGAGACATCAAAACCAGTGTCCCCACTGGAGGATTTCCTTTCTATTATTTTTCTGGGGACAACCCAACATTTGGGATTTTCTTTTACTTTAAATTTCAGTGATAACAGTAAACTGGACAAATAGGGTGAATCTCCCTAACGAGAACAGAGAGCAATAAAAACCTGACATGGGTTCCCTCTCCACTCTATCCAACACTATAAAAAAAACTTTTGTCTTTAGTTATACTTTAAGTAAATCAAACCCAATCATTCTGTGTTTTTCCATATTTCGATCTCTATGCACTGCTGTTGAGAAACTGATTCAAAAAGGCAGAGACTACTCCAAATTGGCTATTATATTTTTAAATTCCTTAAATACCACATGCCTGGACCACTATTTATTTAAGTCATGCCTTTATTTATTTTCATTAGTGAATTGATTTTAATGCCATTTTGTGAGGTATTTACCAAACGTTTTTGCTTTTTCAGATACAGGGGTTAGACAAAAAATGGAAACACTACATGATTTGCAGGTGTGAAAGTAGTGACATATTTTCCGTTGAAAGCGAAAGTGATGTAAAATTCTTTTGCTTCTGTTGTGTGATGAGACACCTAGCTAACAAGTGAGAAGCCTCACCTTCATCATTTAATGCATGTGCTGCTAGTGATACAGAGTCATGTCCGCTTACTGAGCTTCAAAGAGGGCAGATTGCTGGTACCCAATTAGCTGGTGCCTCTGTGACTGAAGTTGCCAATCTATCTGCCGTATCGCGAAGTACAGCATCAAAGGTTATGACGGCATATACAGTTTCCGGGAGAACTTTGATAAGCATAAGCGCGGTCAACTGGCTGAAAGAGACAAAAGGATATTGTGCAGAATTGTGACACGGAACAAGAAAACAACTGCTGCAAAAATGATTGCAGAGCTCAATCTCAGTCCCATGAAGACTGAGAATAAACTCTGCAGTCACTTTTGCACCAGTTTTCTTATTCTGGGTCACAATCCTGCACAATGTCCTTTTTGTTTCTTTTGGTCAATTGACAATGTTGACTGCGGTTATGCATATCAGACAATGTCTTTTTTCTGGAAACTGTATATGTCGGCTTAACCTTGATGCCAGCGAAGTGGGTACCAACAGTTTGTTCTGTTTGAAGCTCAGTGAACTCTGACCTGACTGCATAATACTAGCAGTGCATGCAGTGAATGACGAGGTGTCACTAGGTGTGTCATCACACAGCAGAAGCAAAAGAATAAATACAATAAAGAATGTAGCGCTACTCCTTCAGGTACATACACACATATATATAATAAATTAATAAGTGATGTGTGATCTCAAAATTACACCAAATTAAATAGAATAAAATAAATGTGATAGTGATGTCAATTAAAATTCATTGGTGCCCATTATTCATTAAATCTACAAAGTAAAATCAAATAACTCAAAACATGTGAAAAAACATTTATTTATATATATATATATATATATATATATTATATATATATATATATATATATATATATATATATATAATTCTGTGAATATAAAATCACACGTGCCTCTCGTGTAGTGAAGAAACCACAATATAGCAATACGTAAAACAGTGCTCTCAAAGTCCAATAAATGCTGAAATGCTGATAGTGACCAAAGAAAACACGTGCTTCCAATGACTACTGTTGGTGACCATAAATTAACAGGAACTCGTGTAGATCTTTGGATGCATGTGAATATGACAATCCGACCACCATCTGGATAAGCCTCTCACCTCATCACTTCGACCCTTGCGGATCAAAGCGCTTATGTGGATCCCCCTCACGGATCCTCCAAGATAGCTATTACTCCAAATGTTGCTCCTTGTCGCACCCAAATCTCTCAGAAATTAATATTCCACTAATGGCTCCTCTCCAGGTAAGTTGCAGCATCAATCTCTCAAATGAGACATAAAATAGATCCTCCCATAGTGCAGTATATTTTATTTATGAAGTAGGGACAGATAACAAACTTTCTCACTCATGTGGCAGCCAATTCAAAACCTCATGCTTTCGGATGAGGGCATGTATGTATGGGTGTACAGCTGGGTGTACAGGTGTACCAAGATGGCCGCCACTCCGGAAATACGTCACCACGTCAAGCCGACGCGTTGCGTCACAATGTCATGTGACTTCCTCAGGGCTCACACCTGTACACCCAGCTGTACACCCATACATACATGCCCTCATCCGAAAGCATGAGGTTTTGAATTGGCTGCCACGTGAGTGAGAGAGTTTTTTGTTATCTGTCCCTACTTCATAAATAAAATATACTGCACTATGGGAGGATCTATTTTATGTCTCATTGAGAGATTGATGCTGCAACTTACCTGGAGAGGAGCCATTGGTGGAATATTAATTTCTGAGAGATTTGGGTGCGACAAGGAGCAACATTTGGAGTAATAGCTATCTTGGAGGATCCGTGAGGGGGATCCACATAAGCGTTTTGATCCGCAAGGGTCGAAGTGATGAGGTGAGAGGCTTATCCAGATGGTGGTCGGATTGTCATATTCACATGCACCCAAAGATCTACACGAGTTCCTGTTAATTTATGGTCACCAACAGTAGTCATTGGAAGCACGTGTTTTCTTTGGTCACTATCAGCATTTATTGGACTTTGAGAGCACTGTTTTATGTATTGCTATATTGTGTTTTTTTTCACTACACGAGAGGCACGTGTGATTTTATATTCACAGAATTTATATATATATATATATATATATATATATATATATATATATATATATATATATATATATAAAAAATGTTTTTTCACATGTTTTGAGTTACTTGATTTTACTTTGTAGATTTAATGAATAATGGGCACCAATGAATTTTAATTGACATCACTATCACATTTATTTTATTCTATTTAATTTGGTGTAATTTTGAGATCACACATCACTTATTAATTTATTATATCTATATGTGTGTATGTACCTGAAGGAGTAGCGCTACATTCTTTATTGTATTTATTTATCACAATCACTAGTATATGATTTAATGTTAGCAGCTTCTCCTGGTGTTTTTTGTACAGTTAAAACACTTGGGAGCACAGGAGGTTCACACCACTAAGGAAGCAAAGGAATGTTACAACACTTCAGCTTTCAACACAAAACATGTTGTTCTTTCACACCTGCAAATCATGTAGTGTTTCCATTTCTTTGTCTAATCCAAGGCTTGATAAAAATGCTTTGAATCTAGGAGCCAGTTTTTTTTAAATTGGCTGCCTGGCTCCTGAACTACATGTCCGAGGCATCAGGCAATAGGAATTGCTCACACCTGGTGCCAAACAAAAAAATATTTTTTTAGATTCTGTTTAAAATTTAGAAAATAAGTATTTTTTTTTTTCTCCTTCACTGATGTGCACTAATAGGAGGCACTGTCTGGCACCCACTGAAGATGTTCTGTTACCCAAGACAAACCTGTGTTTCTCTCTTAGTGGGGGGTGGATAAAATGAACTGAAGCTATAGCCAGCTGCCCCACACAGCAGTTCACTCACCGTCTAAATCTGGTGCCCGCAACTGCAGTCCCAGCACCCAGCTGTCAAACTGGGAAGGAGATGTCGGAGGTGGGCAGGCAGGCAGTGAGATCAAGCAAGGGGAAGCCCTCAGTCAGAATGGTAGGCACACCGTGCTCATCACAGTCCCACCCAGCAGAGGAAGGCGCCAATTCCCACAAACGAGCTCTGTATCCCGCTCCAGCAGGCCGCAAATCCGCAGGACTCAAATCCGATGGCCTCAATTACCGGAAAGCCTGGTCACTGCACCCGCGGAGGGACGCCACATGGGTTAGACCAAATCCAGATCACTTCTACAGTGTAACCCAGGCACCTGGATGCAATTTCCAGTGGCCATGGTGACCTGGCGCCTGGGATTTGTCGAACCCTGGTCTGATCCTTGTGAATACCTCATAAGGCGATGGTGAAGTGACATTTTCAGCATCATGTGATAATTGTAAAAAATGTGTCACTTGATTCAGTTTATCTCATGAGATATCCTTTAGTGAATTGAGTTCACTGTCCTGTGTAGGTTTGATTCACTTAGTAGATATAGGCTGTTCATTTTGAAAGGGAATTTTCCCTTAGCTTAGAAAATGGGGTGAAATTTCCCTTTCACAAAGCAATAATTCTGAGTATAGAAACGATTTACAGTTACAGGAAAACATTACAAGACATAGAGTACTACAAATATGTATACCTACACTCATGCAAACACTATCATTCCAAGAAAATGAACATTGACAATTGTTTGTATTCACTAGGTCTACATTAAAAAGCCAAACAGGTTCTGTTATAGCTTGTCCATGATTTCTATAGCAAACAGGACTCCAGGCATTTCAAGTGATTGCAGGAAAAGGGTGGTCTTGGTGGTATTGGGATGCTTTTATGTCCACAAACTCTAGATGGTAGGCTAATACTATAGTTCAGATATGTAAAAAGGTCAGGATGTTGGTGACTCTTTTTAACCCTATGCTAACACACTTGGATAGGACAAATGTTGGATAAGACCTTCTTCAAAACAATTGGAATACCTAAAAAATGTGTACTTTCTTGGTCAACAGTTTGTACTACCCACATATACCTATATACTGTGTGTGTGTGTGTGTATATAATATATAATATATATATATATATATATATATATATATATATATACACACAAACACACACACTCTGTATTGCCAAAAGTATTGGGACACCCCTCCAAATCATTAGATTCAGATGTTCCAATCACCTCCATGACCACAGGTGTGTAAAATCAAGCACCTAGGCATGCAGACTGCTTCTACAAACATTTGTGAAAGAATGGGTCACTCTCATATGCTCAGTGAATTCAAGCGTGGTACCGTGATAGGTTGCCACCTGTGCAATAAGTCCATCCGTGAAATTTCCTTGCCACTAAATATTCCATGGTCAACTGTTAGTGGAAATATAACAAAGTGGAAGCAACTGGCTATAACAGCAACTCAGCCACAAAGAGGTAGGCCACGTAAAATGACAGAGCGGGGTCAGCACATGCTGATGTGCACAGAAGTCACCAACTGTCTGCAGAGTCAATAGCTAAAGACCTCCAAACTTCTTGTGGTCTTCAGATTAGCACAACAACAGTGCGTAGAGAGCTTCATGGAATGGGTTTCCATGGCCGAGCAGCTGCATCCAAGCCTTACATCAGCAAGTGCAATGCAAAGCGGCGGATGCAGTGGTGTAAAGCACGCCGCCACTGGACTCTAGAGCAGTGGAGACAGGTTCTCTAGAGTGATGAATCACGCTTTTCTGGCAATCCTAAAGACATGGCTGGGTTTGGAGGTTGCTATGAAAACGGTACTTGCATGACTGTATTGTGCCAAGTGTACAGTTTGGTGGAGGGGGGATTATGGTGTGAGGTTGTTTTTTCAGGGGTTGGGCTTGGTCCCTTAGTTCCAGTGAAGGGAACCCTTAAGGTGTCCACATACCAAGACATTTTGGACAATTTCGTGCTCCCAACTTTGTGAGAACAGTTTGGGGATGGCCTCTTCCTGTCCCAACATGACTGCACACCGGTGCACAAAGCAAGGTCCATAAACACATGGATAAGTGAGTTTGGGGTGGAGGAACTTGACTGGCTTGCACAGAGTCCTAACCTCAACCCGATAGAACACCTTTGGGATGAATTAGAGCAGTCAGTGGCTGATCTCATGAATGCACTTTTGGAAGAATGGTTAAACATTCCCATAGACCCACTTCTAAACCTTGTGGACAGCCTTCCCAGAAGAGTTGAAGCTGTTCTAGTTGCAAAGGGTGGGCCTACTCAATATTGAACCCTACGGACTAAGACTGGTATGCCATTAAAGTTCCTGTGTGTGTAAAGGCAGGCGTCCCAATTCTTTTGGCAATATAGTGTGTATATATAATATATACAGTGGAAAAAATAATTATTTAATCCCATGAAGATTTTGTCAGTAAGCCCACTTACAAAGAAATGAAGGATGTATAATGTTTATCATAGGTGTATTTTAATGATAGAGACAGAATATCAACCAAAAATGTAGGAAAAACACATGATACAAATGTTATAAATTGAGTTGCAGTTTAGTGACTAAAATAAGTATTTGCTCCTCATGGAAAACATGACTCAGTACTTGTAGCTGGTTACCAGGTTTTCATACATCTCAGGAGTGATTTTGGATTATGGCCTGTACCTTTTGGCAGAAAAACAGCCCCAAAGCATAATGTTTCCTCCTCCATGCTTGACTGTAGGGATAGTGTTCTTAGGGTTATAGTCAGCATTTTTCTTCCCTCAAACACGGCCAGTCATTTGGATGCCAAAGAGCTCAATTTTGGTTTCATATGACCACAGCACTTTCTCCCAATCCTTCTCTGAATCATTTAGATGTTCGTTGGCAAACTTCAGATGGTCCTGTACATGTGCCTTCTTGGGGAGTGGGACCTTGCAGGAGCTGCAGGATTTTAATCTATGGCAGCGTATTGTGTTACCAATGGTTTGTTTGGTGACTGTGCTCCCATCTGCCTTGAGATCATTCACAAGCTCCTCCTGTGTAATTCTGGGCTAAACTTTTCTCATGATCATCCTTACCCCATGAGACGAAATCTTGCATGGAGCTCCAGACTGAGAGTGATTGATGGTTATTTTGTATTTCTTTAAATTGTGAATAATCGCTCCAGCAGTTGTCTCCTGCTTCTTGATGATGGTCTTGTAGCCTATTCCAGCCTTGTGCAGGTCTTTAATCTGACAATGTGTCAGATTTGCCTTTTTGTTTCTCCACTGTTTTGTGTCATACCATTTGCAAGTGCAACAATTTTTTGGGTGAAGTGGTGCATTATCTGACAGAAATACAGGGGTGCCAATATTTTTGGCCGTGAATGTGTTTAAATGTTGCACAACATTGTGACCTGGAGTAAGGAAACAACTGCTGCAAAAGTTACTGCAGAGCTCAGTCTCATAAAGACTGAGTCCAGTGGAGACTGAGATTGAGCTCTGCAGTCACTTTTGCACCAGTTGCTTTCTAATTCTGGGTCACAATCCTGTGCAATGTCCTTTTGTCTCTTTCGGTCAGTTGACCATGTCGACTGCGCTTATGCTTATCAGACAACGTTTTCCTGGAAACTGTGTATGCCATCATAACCATTAATACTGTACCTCATGACATGGCAAATAAATTGGCAACTTCTGTCTCACAGGCACTAGCTAAGCCGGCACCAACTATTTGCCCTCTTTCAAGCTTGGTAAGCTCTAACACGACTCTGTATTACCAGTAGCTCATGCAGTGAATGATGAAAGTGAGGCTTCCCACCTGTTAGCTAGGTGTCTCATCACACAGCAGTAGAAACATGTTACATCACTTTCGCTTTCAACGTGAAACATGTTGTCACTTTTACACCTGCAAATTATGTAGTGTTTCCATTTTTTGTCCAACCCCTGTATTTCCAGTGTGTCAGTATGATACTGATTCTGTATCTGCAGACATATTTCTGATGTGTCAGTATGATAATGATTCTGTCTTTGCAGACATATTTCTGGTGTCAATGAACCCTTAAAGTACACATTTATATAAAAAAAAAAAAACCAATATAATTCAGACACCCCCACCTCTCTATTTTCTGCTCATAGACTTGAGTGGGGTGTGCCGCTAGTGTCTGTAGGTGTGGAACCATTGCCCTAATCAAGCCTACATGGACTCACTTTGCTGGCACGCACAGAATCAGAGAAGATTTTGGGCCTGAGGAGAGAAAAAAAAAAAAAAAAACGTTCTGTAGAAACAAATGTAAAAGATAAACCTTTGGCAAATCATATTATATCTTTATATTGTGTAATATATATGACCGCATTAACAGGGTAATCACAGCAATTAAATGCTGTTGCTACCGTCACATGGATGCACTGTCTCTGTCCAGGGTTGGCCTGAGGCTCTTTTTGCAAGTAATCGTTCAAATTTGAATGGCTACATGCAAACAGTGGCAGTGGCAGCCAATGATTTGTATTGAGTACAAATCTGAAAGCAGCTGCTGACAGCTGCTGCTCTTTGCGGGTATGTAATTGTAGTCATAGAAATATGAATAAATTAATATAGATAATGCGCCAGCATGTGTACTTTGTTACTGATGTTCTGTGGGAATTCCTGGAAAAAACGTGACCTAGCTACAGTTGGGTGAGTTCTCAAAATTCCATTTTTTTTCATGTACAGTGTAGTGTAGATTTTAACAGCATTCTGTATAAAAACCCACTACCCAGAGATTATTGCTCAGGTTATTTCCTGTGAAATGTTTTAACGTGAAGATCCACCTTTGTTTCTTCCATTTCATTCTCCAGGTGTAGTTTGTGAACTACCAAGCAGAGAGATTGGTGTTTCTCTTATTTCTCTAATTCTGTCCTTTTACTGCTTCTGTTTACTTTGTTTCATGCACTCTGATGTTTATTGGGGAAGGTAGTGCAGTCCTGCACACAGAAGTCCCTGGTACACTAGTATTTATTATGCAGACGACTAGTCTGTATTATCTATGATCGAGCTGGATTGACTCTCTCCGATGCATGCTATGCAGTGCTATCTAAGCCAATACCCTAGATCAGGGCTTGAAATTTCTACTCGCCTGCTTGCCAATGGCGAGTGTAAATTATGGTGGGGGTGAGTGTGTCCCCCAGGGCCGTCTTGCTGAGCAGGCTCGGAGCTCAGGCTAGATCTGTCATTGGCACTGGGAGCTGTCAGACTACTCAATAGCTGAGCGCAGTGAAAGCAAAGCAAGGAGTGTGTGCTGTGCTCTCTGCCTCCCCCTAGAGTGCAGTACTCGGATCTGTGAGTGAACAATGAAGTACTGCAACTTTTTTATGGGTGTGTGTGTACATGTACATGTGTATGCATGTATGTATGTGTCTGTGTGTATGTACATGTGTCTGTCTGTGTGTGTGTTCATGTATGTGTGTATGTATGTACATGTGTCTGTGTGTATGTACATGTGTCTGCGTATTTCTGTGTATGTACATGTATCTGTGTATATGCATGTCTGTACATGTGCCTGTGTGTGTATACGTGTCTGTATGTATGTGTGTGTACATGTCTCTGTGCGTGTGTGTACATGTCTCTGTGCGTGTACAGGTGTTTCTGTTTGTGTGTGTGTTTGTTGGTGGCGAGTAACTCTAAGGCCTGGCTAGTAGCTCAGGACTTGAAATTTTAAGCCCTGTTCTAGATACTGTTTTCTTTTACCCTGCATTTCTCTGTTTACCCTGTTTTTTTTCCCTACACTAAAGCCTCTTTCATACGAGCATTCCATATGTCCATTTTTCATCTGTTGTTTATGGATGAAAAAAAAGACCCCATGTATTTCTATGGACTTGCGGGTGTAAACATCTGTTAATGTCCACATCCATTAACATCCTTTTTTTTTTTTTTTTTTTTTGAACGGAAGAAAACCCTATTTTTCATCCGCAAAACCCGGAACGAACAAAAAACGGATATCAACGGATGTAAACGGATGAAAAACGGATGTTAAAGGATGAAAAAACAGATATAAACTCATGTTTTTCTTAGAAAAAAACGTGACTGAACTGAAGAAAAAAAAATGGAACGCCCTTGTGAAAGGACCCTAAGGTAAAAAATGTCCCAGTAGTTGTATAGCCCCCTAACCTACCCAAGTCCTATCTCGAATCAGCACTGTTCCTATCTGCAGTGGCGCTGATATCTCTCTCTTTCTCTCTCTCTCAATTCAAATTCAAAAGAGCTTTATTGGCAGGACCAAATAACATTTTAGCATTGCCAAAGCAGTTTGTATGGGAAAAGGTGGAGGGGGGGGAAGAGGTAATATAAAGGAGAAGGGTCCATGTAAAGGATTTTTAAGTCCCTAGTTTTTCATGTCCCTCTCAGTCTGTGGCATGCTCTCACATATTGTGCAGCTATTTTCACCATTGGTTCCTCTTCTCCCAGTAGAATTTGGAGTTTCCTCCTCTCTTATATCTATAGACATGAAGTCCGGGATGAGAGTGGAGAGTCTCTGGAAGTGAGTGTCCCTCACTGATGAGTACTTTGGGCACTGTAGAAGTCTACCCTCCCTGGGCTTATACTGTAGGTCTGTCTGTGCTGTCCTGATTCGATTTCCAGGCCGTGGGCACTTAGTCTGTATCAGCTCAGGGTCTGTCTGTTTTTTGGGTCTTGTAGCACCTCCAGGTATGGGGCCAGTTTGTAGTCTCTCTGCAGTGATTGGTAAACAGTTGGTTTCTTTGAGTTTGCTATTTCATTTCTCCATTTCTCAACATACTTTTCTTGGGAATCATTCATTATGTCTTTTATTTGAGATTTTGTAAGGCCAGATTGTTGGGCATTTGGGATACACAAAGTGCTGATTAGTTGTTGCAGACCACATGGCTTTGACTGGTCCCTTATTGGTCAGTAGGGCCTTATGTTGGTATGCGTTAGGACCAGGGGCGGACTGACCATTCGGCTCTCGGGCACTGCCCGAGGGCCCAGGGTCAGTAGGGGGCCCCATGAGATGCCCCTGGTTCCTTTCATAGGCTTTTTCATAGGCTTTTTTGGCTGTGGCTTGAGTGTGGGGGCGAGGACATAGGGGCCCCATGATCCATTATTGCCCCGGGGCCCCATGAGGTGTCAGTCTGCCCCTGGTAAGGACTGTTGTTTTGTAGATGGCCCCAGTATGATAGCGTCCTCTTCTGTACTGCGAGAAGCAAAGAAAATCTGCCCAGCTCAGACCAGCAAGCACTGTTGGAGGTTCTCTCTCTCTCTCTCTTTCTCTCTCCTTCTCTCTCTCTCTCTCTCTCTCTCTCTCTCTCTCTCTCTCTCGTCCTCCCTCTCTCTCTCTCCCTCCTCACAGGCTCAGAGACAGCTGCAGGATCCATTAGTTCTTGTTGCTGTAAATCAGATCCTGTGAGGATGGAACGAGGGGCGGGCCGAGCTACGCTGTGTGTGTCATTGGAAGCACACAGTCCAGCCTGGAAATGAGCCCACAGCTGTGCCATCATAGGAAGTGGCTTCCTATAGTGATATGCAGAGAAGAGGAGGATCCAAGAGCTCTAGCGGGGGGACTCCAGAAGAGGAGGTCCCAGGCTGCTGTGTGTAATACTATTGCACAGAGCAGGTAAGTATACCATGTTTATTATTTTAATTTAAAAAATACCATTTACAACAGTGTTAATTTAGTCAGCTAGTAATTTTCATCTTAGTTTTAGTCAATAACATTTTTTTAGTGACTAAAACTAAAAAAAACTAAGTTATGGTGACTATAACTATAACAAAAATCTATTTTCGTCAACTGACTAAAACTAGACTAAAATGTTAGGGAGGAAAGAATTGGGAAGAGATCCAATCAGAATTAATCTCCGTCTTTATTCCTCGTTCAAACCTTAATAACATAAGTAATAACAGGTTAATAGATATTTACTCCAGGAATATATAATAAGATTGGAAATTCTAGGGAAATGCTTACATAATGCATCACACTTTAACTAACCCCATTCAATTTTACTTGACTAAATCTGCTATAGATTTAGTCAACAAAAATCATATTATATTTAGTCAACTAAAAATAGACTTAAACTAAGATGATTTAGACTAAAATGTAACTGAAATTAAATGGCATTTTCATCAAAAGGCTATGACTAAAACTAAATCTAAATTAGTTGTCAAAATTAACCCTGCTTTACAACCGCTTTAACAGAGCTGTTTTATAAGGTGTCTGCTGGGGTGAGCAGAAAGTAAGTTCAATAAAATATAACTATATGTAACTATAGGGGATAAGTGATCATGAAGACGACACTGTATAGCCTGGTAATGTCAAGGCTCCTTGTTTTTGCGATTTACTTATTTAAAGCGCTAGTAAACTGCAGAAAAATAAATCTAAAAAACTTCTTGCAAGTTAAGAGCATAATGTGCTATTATGGGGTCCCATAATATAAACCGCACTGTTAATTGGCAAGATAAGTTGCAAGAAGGAAAATCTCTCTGTCTATGGCCAGCTTAAGCCAGCACATTTTTGAAAGTGACTGTATTCCAGGAGTTCAGCTATAAAGTATACCTTTTATGAGAGAAATATGGAGCTGCCAGGCTATAATATTATTATCATTATAACAGATTTGTTCAGAGCCAACAGTCTGCACAGCATTTACAAAATGGAGAGACAGTAGAGTTACAAGACAAAGGGTTAGGGCAGTGTTTTTCAACCTTTTTTGTGCAAAGGCACACTTTTTTCATGAAAAAAATCACGAGGCACACCACCATTAGAAAATGTTAAAAAAAATTTACCTCTGTGCCTATATTGACTATATATAAAGTAATTCTCTTGAATAGGAATCAAACACAAAGAAATTATTTTATAATTACTTTATTATGAAATAATAAAGTATTTTATAATTGGACCCGGGGCGGACCAAGAGTAGATGAATGATGTGTATGTGTCATCCATAGTAAGTATAGTAATATTCCCCCATAGTAAGCATAGTAATTAATCCCCCATATAGTAATTCATCCTCCATATAGTAATTCATCCCCCATAGTAATTCATCCCTCATATAGTATTTCATCCCCCCATATAGTATTTCATCCCCCCATATAGTATTTCATCCCCCCATATAGTATTTCATCCCTCATATAGTAATTCATCCCTCATATAGTATTTCATCCCTCATATAGTATTTCATCCCTCATATAGTATTTCATCCCCCATATAGTATTTCATCCCCCCATATAGTATTTCATCCCCTCATATAGTATTTCATCCCTCATATAGTATTTCATCCCCCCATATAGTATTTCATCCCTCATACAGTAATTCATCCCTCATATAGTAATTCATCCCCCATATAGTATTTCATCCCTCATATAGTATTTCATCCCCCCATATAGTATTTCATCCCTCATATAGTAATTCATCCCCCCATATAGTATTTCATCCCCCCATATAGTATTTCATCCCCCCATATAGTATTTCATCCCTCATATAGTAATTCATCCCTGATATAGTAATTCATCCCCCATATAGTATTTCATCCCCCCATATAGTATTTCATCCCTCATAAAGTAATTCATCCCTCATATAGTATTTCATCCCCCACAGTACTATTCCCCCCCCCCCTTCTAGTAAGCCAAGTCCCCCGTGTCAATTCACTTACCTTTTGCGTTCCTCTCGCTGTCTTCCCGCGCCGTTCGGGTCTTCAGGGCGGACTGTGAGAGGAGCCTAGCTCCCCTCCCCTCACGTTCGGCACGCTGCCCCGCCTACACACATCCTGACAGCCACATCCGCAAGCCGGATTAAAAGGTCCGCGCGGACTTTTGGGGCTGCCAACCGAGAGGAGGCAGGGGAGCGGCCGACCGAGAGGAGGGAGGGGAGCAGGCGCCCGGCACACAGAAGAGCCGCATTAGACTGGGTAAAGAGCCGCATGTGGCTCGCGAGCCGCGGCTTGCCGACCACTGAATCATTAGATTCTAATGATTGGTCTATTTGTGAGCCGAAGCCACATGTTACAGATGAAATTGGAATTTTTCCCACGGCACACACCAGACAATATCTCACGGCACACTAGTGTGCCGCGGCACAGTGGTTGAAAAACGCTGGGTTAGGGGAACCCTGCTCTTGAGAGCATACAATCTGCGGGCACGTTCACACCGTGGTGAAGAGACGTAAGTTTTTCTGTACGCATTCTGCAGGGGCACAAAAAATAAATTGTTCTTTATGTGCCCTGTTCACACCAAAACACTAGTATCGTGCAGATTTTTTTCTGCGCAGGAATCTGCAACGCGTATGAAACTCATTGAAGCGTGCATGTAAACTGATGTCTCTGCAAGTGAAATCTGCATGTCAGTTGCCATCAGGTTTTCTGTATGTATGGTGTGAACGGGGTCTAAAGTGATAGAAGAAGCAGTAACTTTAGTTTGAGAAAGTAAAATTCATGTGGTAGCCAGGTACAGGATAGGCTTGCCCAAAGAGATGCAAAAGAGTAGGAGATAATCAGAAAGGTTGTGGTAGGGAGAAATGTTCCAGAGGATGAGAGGCTCTGGAAAAGTCCCGAAGGTGAGTACGGAAGAGATAAGGGAGCTAGGAGCACCAGGTTTTTGTGAGGAACGAAGAGTTTGGTTTTGTTAATATTTTGAGAGGAGGTTGGTGATGCA